CTGTTGTACTGTGGATACCTTACAAATGCACTTGCGAGGCAAGAAGCACTTGAGCAAGTCTAGATGGTACAAGACTAGTACACTCCTCCATCATAATGGGCAGGGAGTAGGTGGTGATGGCCAGGTACCAACACCCCACACCTATGGGGTAAGTAAGTTGATCCTTCTATAGGTATCAGCAACAACAGCACCTGCTGCTGCAGCGACCGCGTAGTATAATGATGTTATTGATGTGATAATATCATTGCTGGCCTCAGGAATGATGATACCATAGGGATGGTTATCTTCGAGGACCATACAATATGGCAGGAAACTAACACAGGGTGGCTGTGTAAGCTGTGTGGTAATACTCCATCATTACTATTGTTACTAGTGATGGTTGGTCGTCGTCATAGATGCTACTGTTAACAGTGACTCAATGGCTATGGCCCATATGTCTAGCAGAAAGCATCAGAGCAATATGGCATGGGCCTCCAATACAACAGCATTACCATCCGTTGATGGGGGCGGTATGAATAACCAATGGTACGCGGCTGGCTATAACGAGGGTGTCGAGTTCCAGAATGAATGTACCTATCAGTTTTATGGCAACAGGGACATGCCAATAAGTTTTGGACATGTTGACAATACTGGTAGGTGGGTGTGGGCTCTTACACTAATCACAATCAGCTTATCAGGACCCATGGGCCACGCGCCAGCTCACAATAATTGGGAGGATTCTCGATGCAAGCTCTGCCAAACTGGAGATATCTGTGGGTACGCCACCATGGCTGAGTGTGAACGTGCTAACCACCATCGTGAACAATACTTTTAGATGGGCAGCATGGTCCGGACATTTCAACGGTAAAGCTCACAAGAAGAACGTGCGAATGAATAAATACGAGTACGTGGCTGTCTGGCAGAAGCTAAGTGCTGAAGGGGTGAGTTGTTGAGGTACGCTGCTAGTTGGAATGCTCCTTGTCCATCAGTTTGAGTATTACTACGATCACCTTACAGGGTTGTGGGATTCGCATAATCCAGTGGAAGATGAGATAGGATACTTCCCTGATGACGGCATCATCTATGTTCGTGACCCGTCATCTTTTGAAGAATGAGTAGCCTCATCTCCACTCCATACGGAGTTGGCCGTCGCATTGTTTGATGTAGTTATCATTTGTCCTTGATTTTGTTCTTTCATTTGTTCTATGCAGGACTTGCGTCATAGTATAACTCATACTGTACAAAGAATAGAAAGAGACAATCGAAAAACAGACGTCAACTCTCTATTCAGAATACTTCCTCACATTGACAGGCACATACTCCTAATAACCATACTACACACAACATATCTATCTACGAGGTCACTCGACCGTTGAAGATTTAACAATCACAGTATTGGACAGTGAAGGTGAGTGTATAGAACAATCGCTCCTCCACAAAGTGAGGAATATACGAACAATCCAGCAAATCATAGAAACTTACCACAGCGATTTTTACAACAATATAGTAGAAAATAAACAGTGATGATCCAGATATGGATATTAGCAGATAAAAATGACATACTAGAAATTTTCGGGAAGAACTCATAGCATATCTGTAATCCACACACCGAAGATGCTTCCGATGAGGATACCATTGATGAGGCAGAATCCCATAGCATAACCAGCGATTTCTTGCTCATCCTTATGGTTTGGAACTTTCTTCGGACCAAGCATCATACCAAGAGTAGCAACAACACCGTTACTGAAAGCAAATATTGCCATCATAACGTGCTTGAACCAGTTATAGTAGAAAGGGATGACGCTCGGGAAGACTCTGATGCAAATAAATAGCGGTATGAAGATAGCACGTCCGAGAGAAACAACAACCAACCATAATGGTGATAAGCGAATTCCCATGTTCGGGGCAAAGCGGCCAACAGTATCGAAAATCTGATACATATAAGTTACGAGAGGAATAAAGTTGACGCTGTCATCCGGGCCCTTTGAGCTGGTAAACTGTGTTACTTGGGAAGGGAATACGGTGAAGGTTATAGTTAGAACAGACCAAACGATGAATGCGGGCAACATGATATCCTTGAGGATAGCGTACACAGGACGGGTACTCTGACGCTTGGTGAAGCCTTCCTTCTTCCTGCTCTCCTCAATCTTGAGAATATCTCTCATGTACGGGTGTTTTACCATACAAAGTCGGAACATTGGGATAAC